ATGATGGACAGGAAGGTAGCCTCTGAGGTCAGAATGCTTGGGTTTAGATTGAGGCTTGGCTGCTTCTAAATTACTTTAATTCCCCTCCTCAAAAATAAATAAAGAAAGAAAGAAAGGAAGGAAGGAAGGAAGGAAGGAAGGAAGGAAGGAAGGAAGGAAGGAAGCCTGTGTTCTCCTTGTTATTGTATTTATTTCATTGTGTTATAGTTTGTTTCTTTTCCTCTTTTATTACAGAGATAATATTAGTAATGGAATTATAAGTTCCTGGGGGCAGAAACTAACTTCTGAATCATCAGACCAGGGCCTGGCATATTCATTTATTGACCTACAAATATTTGTTGAGAACCCTTATCTTCATGTACCAAGATACTAGTTTTACAACAGTAAACACAAAAGATCAGGTTGCTGCCCTCACTGGGTTTACTTGCTAATGAAGTACTCAAGCAATAAACAGAAATATATGGATCAGTTTAAATTGTGCTACATATTGGAGAGGAAGTGACAGAAAGATCAAGGAGAAATGTTGTAGGCAGAGGGAAACTCGAGTACAAAGGGTCTGAGTTGGAAAGGTATTTGCAAAGGAGGGAACTACTTGAATAAATAAACAAAAGTTGGAAAACTAAGAAGCAGCAAAGTAACTTGTCTACCATAATTGTAAAGTAATGGAATCTATATCCTCTGAGTCCAGTTCATCAGTCTTTTAACTGAAACATATTGCTAAAACAGTCTTAGCAAAACCGAGTATGGTTACTAAAATGCAGTGAAATGCAAAACCCATTATAGTGCTGATTTTTTTTAATTTTTAAAAAATTAGTTGTAGATGGATGCAATACCTTTACTTTATTTATTTATTTTTATGTGGTGTTGAGGATTGAACCCAGGGCCTCGCATGTGGTAGGTGAGCACTCTGTCCCTGAGCTACAACCCCAGCCCTATGGTGCAGATTTTTATTTTTTATTTTATTTTATTTTATTTTATTTTATTTTAGAGAGAGAGAGAGAGAGAGAGAATTTTAATATTTATTTTTCAGTCATCAGCGGACATAACATCTCCATTTGTATGTGGTGCTGAGGATCGAACCTGGGCTGCACGCATCCAGGCGAGCACGCTACCTCTTGAGCCACATCCCCAGCCCTGGTGCAGATTTTTTTTTTTAAAAATTATTGACCTTAAAGAGAAAATGAATGTAAATAATAATGAAGCATATAAAATGCTTACCCCCCCATGCCCTTTGGAATTATTACTATTTTTAAAAAAATTTTAGAATTTTTTTTTAAGAATAAGATACTATTCTTGAATTCTGACTTAGGTTTAAGTGTACAATACAATTTGAGAGAACTTGAACAAAAGCAGGGAAAATTTATTAAGTGTTTATTCCTTCCCTAGGGTGTGACAGAAACTGTGGTGACTTGGACATGATTCCTGCTCTCGGGGTTTATGTTTATCAGGGAAGAGATTTTCCAAACAGTTTGAGAATTTTCAGTTGATAACTCTAACTTAATGGAAATAATTTTACCATTAAATCTGTAAGATGTGTTATTCATAATCATTTGGTCTAGTACAAGTGCTAAACAAATTGTCAATCTTGAGTAATAGGAGGTGACAAAAGAAAATTTTGGAGTTTTTGGTTCTCGTGAAAATTTATTCCTGGTCTTTGTAAAAAGTTGTCCTTTTAACTTATCAAGTATTCATACTTTATTATCTAATTATTTTTTGCATTTATCAGCTAATTGATATAGGAGAGAGTATAGCAATTCCAGATGAATTTTCTGAACAAGAAAGGCAGTCTGGAGATTGGTGGAAACAATTGGTGGCAGCAGGAATAGCTAGTGCAGTGGCACGAACATTCACAGCTCCTTTTGACCGCTTGAAAGTCATGATGCAGGTAGCTTGCATGCTTTTCCTACCTTGTCAGAGTAACTGGAATAGTTCTTTATTATTTTCACAACAAATATTTTAAATGTCTTGGAAAATTTCATACTATTTCTTGTTAAGGTTTTATGCTTTATTTAAAACGTAGATTTTAAAATTTATTTTTAAATAAGAAGTTGTTCTATAGAAGCAAGTCTCTTTTTTATAACCTGTGTTTTATTTGTTTTTATTTTTATGTGGTGCTGGCAAGATTCTTCTAAGAATTAATTTTTATTTGAAATAATAATACAATCACCTTATTAGATTGATTTTTCAGAAATAAAACTAAATCCATTAGAGAAATGACAAGACACTATTAGTCTAATTTGTTATGTTTATCCCCTGACACCAACATAATTGCATGATTATACTTTCCTATGAAAGTACTGATAATATTTCTAAGAATTATAAAAAAATATTATATGGTATCTAATTACCTTTATTTCAATGAGTGATGTTTTATCAGCAGAAGTTATGAAATAGTATATGGTTTAATCTAGTAAGAATCATAACTAAAATCCATAATTAAAATTTACTATTTGGTGCATACTTTCTCTGCAAGGATATACAAATAAATAATATATRATCTGGTGAATTTTTTGTAATTAAATTTACATACCTGGGTGTCTTACTGTCTATGGGTATTTTTTTTGGTAATATTGGTAACATTTTGGTAATGGACACAGTGTGAAGTGTGTAAAAACTATAGTGTTACATAAATAAGAGCTAAGTAATTTATCTATGCTTCTGCTTAATCCAAGATTTTTTGATATCTTACAAACTATATTTACATAAATATGTAATTTTTAGAAAATAAAGACTGTTGAAGGATAGCTTTTAGGAAAAAAAGGCTTCATATATTCATTTCACATATATACTTAGGATCCATTGTATACTAGATACTTATTAGGCATTAGGGGCTACAGTAGTAAGTTAGACACAATATTTAGAATTAGAGAATAGAGGGGAAAATAGATAATTAGGCAAGTAATAATAAAAGGCAATAATTAGGCAAGTAAGTAATGAAACATGAAACCTATGTTATTCTGWATCCAGAGAATACACATAGTACTGTGGGAACACCTAAAAGGGAGTACATACCATTTTCCCTGTCCTTATCACTTCTCACATAAATGTATAATGATATCTTGGTTAATGTATCCAGTAGAAATAACGACCTTTAATTCAACAGACTAAGTGTTGGGAACACACTTTGAAGTAAGGTAATAAGACAACCCATCATCCTTCTGAGTGTTTGATTCCCCAGTTAGTGACTAAATTCAGTCAGTTGTTAGGAAAGAGTAAGACTCCAAAATTCTCTATCACATATAAAGATCAAAAACCTGGTTTATTCACTGGGCTTACTGGCTAAAGATCATCTCCCAATATGTCTCTGTGCAGCACCGTACTGTACTGTATATTTTCCATTTACACCTCATTTTTTTTATTTTTTGAGAGACAAAGTTACTGAGGAAACCAGGTTTTTGATCCAGAACCTGTTAGAGATAGTCCACAACATAGCTATTCGATGATGATGATGATGATGATGATGGTATGGTGATATTGAAATTAATGATTGTCACTTCTAAGTTTTCATTCTGTGAAAGATAGAAACTATATGGGTGTCATAGAGACAGAAATCAGTGATGATCTGTTTTCTGAGCAGAAGAAAATGGATTGGATTAGGGAGAGTGAAAAAGTATGTACCAAATAGAGGGGGTGTGGAAAGAATGAAAAAAAAAGGAAAGAGAAGAGGATGGGAGACAGAAAAGAAAATGAACGTGGAGAATAAATAGGACAGAAGGAGGGAAGATGATAGGGGGRAAATGAGTTAGAAATAGGGAGGCAAAAGTAGAGAGGAAGGGAAAAAGAAGGGAAGATTAGGAAGTGGGAGAAGGAGGGAGGAATGGAAGAAGTCTGTCCTTTTACACTGTTCTGATTGTTTAGGCTTTCATTTATAAATATATTGGGCAGTGAAAYAGGTTCATTAAAACTTGCCCTCTTACTAATGGAAGTATTACTCTTTGAGCTTCATGCATCTGAAAAGGAATACTGTGAAATACAAAAGGACACATGTCTAAAACAGCTTAATTGCAAGGATTTATAGTCTGAGAGTTACTGGGTTTGAATTCAGACTTTGATATACTTTATCTGTGGGCAAGTTATTTGACTACTCCCTGTTGGGGCTATAAAATGAAAATCATCTCACCAGAGTTATTTTAATGCAGGGAGGTGGTTGGATTTGGCTAGGGGGTGGGTAACTTGGTGGTGGACAACTTGGCCTAGCATGGATGAGGCCTTGGGTTGGATCCCCCTCACCCCTCACTCCCCACACATGGAAATGAGGGGAAAATAAATGAGGTTTTATGAAGTGTTTAGCATAATGTCTGTTACATAGTACACAAAATGAAGGCTGCCATTTTTTTGCAGAGAAAAAAGATGAGAAAGTAGAACTATTACTATTTCATCAAAGACATATTTAATTTTCTTTAGCTATTTGTTTTGAGTTTTAAATACTTTATTTTCAAAACAAAATAAATACATGCCTACAAAAAATCTGGAAAATAGGACAGTAGAAAGAAGTTATATATCTTCTCATCACTCAAAATAGTTATTAATAATGCCTTAGTGCATTACCTCTTATCTTTTTATGTTTTTTGCAGAATAGTGATTACTTTTAAATAATTGATAGTTTTTTGTGGTTAATAGTATAACATGATCATATTCACATTACTTTATATTCTTCAAATAYAGTTTGTAATGACTAGGCAATATTTCAAGTGGAAGTGTCATACCTTATTTTGTCATTTAMAAGTTTCTTAGACATGTAGATGACCTAAATTCTCCTCTTTTAAAACTGTTATTCATAATTTTGTGATGGACAGAACATCAYTACCTGAACCTTTTTTCATTTTAGGATTATTTGTTCAGAAAAATTCCTGAAAGTTTAATGATGAACATATTTAAGTCTGTGTGTATCTGTGTGTGCATGCATGCACACATATACAGCTAAATTATTTTTCAGATTGGTTCTAACAGAAGATGAGAATGCCCATTTTGACTTACYTGCTCATTATTGTTCTCTTAGAGGGTGCTTTACTACAATTTAACTTTCACTTTCTTAAAATTAACATCTTATTATAAAATAATATATTAGAAAAAATAGGAAAACAGAAAATCATAAAGGCAGACATTAAAATGATCTGTAATTCTTATGTGTTCCTTTGCTAGAAATTCTATAACAAAGTACCACAAATAGGCTTAAACAACAGAAATCTATTGTCTCATAATTCTGGAGGCTTAAAGTCCAAAATTAGGGTGTTATCAGGGTCGGTTCTTTCTAAGGGATATGAGCGAGAGTCTGTTCCTGGTTACTCTTCTCCTAATCTATGTTATATCTCTGTACCAAAATTTCTCCTTTTTATAAGGATAGCAGTTGTATTAATTACAGTACACCATGAGGATCTCATTATAATTTGATTCTATCTGTAAAGACCTTATCTCCAAATTAGGTCATTCTGAGGGAAAAGGAATTAGGACTTTAATATATGAATCTTGAGGGGTACAGTTCAATTCCTAATACTGTGATACCCCTAAGTATACATTATTGAAAAGCTCAGTACATTTTCATTCGTTCTTTTTTCAGTGCATATTTAAATGTACTATTACAATCKTATAATATTAATTTATTTCTGTCTTCCATAAGTTATTCTTTTGATTTTTTATTATATTCCAATACCTTCAGTGGTTAACTAAAACTTCAGATAGTACCAAAACGTATATGTACTATGTTTTATCCTATATATATATACCCATGATAAAGTTTAATTTTTAAATTAGGTACAGTAAGAGATTAACAACAACAACTGATAATAATAAAGTGTAACAATTACAATAATATACTATAATGAAAGTTATGTGACTTTCACCTAGGAAGCACGTTACAGTGTTTCTTTGGCATATCCAAATTGCAAACATCACTACTCTTGTACTTTGGGACCATTATTAAGTGAAATAAGGGTAACTTGAACATAAGCATTTTGGTAATACCAGAACAGTAAATATGATAAYTGAGATGGCTACTAAGTGATTAATGGGTGGGTTATATATATATAGCGTGGATACACTGGACAAAGTGGTGATTCATGACCCTGGAGGACAGAGTGGAGCTGGACAGCCTGATTTTATCATGCTGCATAGAATGGTATATAATTTAAAACATATAAATGATTTATTTTTATTATTTTCCATTTAATATATTTGGACCATGGAAACCATGGAATTCAAACTATGGATATAGGGGGACTGCTATGATTAAAATATGTTTGGATACAAGAAAATATTAATATATCAATTTTATATGTCACTGAAGGAAAATTAAATTGGGGGTTGAAAAATTATGAATTCATATATATATATATATATATATATATATATATAATTATGTCATTAGTAATACCAATGCTATATTGTCAGAAAAATAAACTGAAGAATAAATAGATTTTCTATTTATTTCCAGGTTCATAGTTTAAAGACAAGAAGAATGAGGTTGATGAGTGTGTTTGAGCAGATGGTAAACGAAGGAGGAATTTTTTCTCTTTGGCGAGGAAATGGTACAAATATTATCAAAATTGCACCAGAGACGGCACTCAAGATTGGGGCCTATGAACAGGTAAATTTAATTGGCTAAGGAATTTTAAATGAAGATTAGATTTTAATGTAATATAAAATTTTAGACTTTTATGAAAGAGAAMACGGGAATGTACATAAGCAATAGTTATCAATGTAAACATTAATTTTATTTTCATTTGATGACTGTTTGATTGCATATTGCTATTATCTACAAAGAAAGGCTGCATGGATAACATTATATCATCAAAACTGATGTTTGTTAGTAATTCTTCTAATTTCACTGTCATAATGTGACATTAAAAACATTTCATAATTGGTTTTTCCTTTAAATAATTTGAATGTTTTGTGGAATTGAATGTTTCAGTTCATTTATTACTAAGTAAAGGATTAATCTCAATTTAATCAAGTGAATAACAGATGAGAAATATACATTGAATTAAAAAATTTGTTAATCTAATTTAGGATTTTACTTCAGAGGCTTGGGTAATTTACTTTGAGATGAACTATATTTATTTTTGAATATTATATGTTATTTGTGTCACATAAGTGCCCAAGAATGCTTTGAATGTGGCTCAAACTTTTCATCTTAATTGTATACCTTGTAGTAATTCTTTAAATTTTTTTTTTTTTTAGCATATGACAATCAAAGTGCTTATAGAGGAAATTTTGTATCCTAAATTGGAAATAAGATTGCTGGGTACAAAGGATCCAGTTGAAGTTAGTAGTCCTGAATATAAYGTGATATCAGGAAGCATGCAGATTTATAAAATCTTGCTTACAATAGGTTTTGAATTTTGGCAATTTCCTGGATTCYGATATTTATTCTGTAGCTACCATGAGCAAGGTCTTATGCTGTAGTCTGGGGCTACATGAGTAAACAAGATAGAAATAGTTGATCTGCTCTTTTAGACTTTACTTCTATCAAAATTAGTTGTTGGGAGCTGGGTTGTGGTTCAGTGGTAGAGTGCTTGCTTAGCATGTGTGAGGGTTTGATAGTCAGCACCACATATAAATAAATAAAACACAGGTCCATCAATAACTAAAARATATTTTTAAAAATTAGATGTTGAAATTTAAGGAGGGTTCATCCAATTAGTGTACAAAAACAGCATGTTATAAAAGTACAAAAGAAGCAGGGAAGCCTGTGTATTCCTTATTGTTACCAGGAACATATAGGTTTTATTAGTGATATCACATACAGGTGGRAAAAAATGGCCTAGACCTTAAGTCATCAATATGCCATCCTCACTACTCATGGTGACACAGGACAACACAGAGAGTGCTCCAATGATGCACTGTTCATTATTAATTAGGACTTTGGCTTCACAGTTCTTTCTAGTCTGCTACACTGGCAATAAGCAACCATGGACACACTTTCCCTGTTTAGAACAAGACTTGACTAGAGAAAGCAGCAGGTTTCCCACTTCTTATCTTTGGCCTCATCTTGGTTACTGCTAGCCTTTCCAGGGTACATCACTTCACRGGGTTAAGAGCTCTTCCAGGACTCTAGCACATAGATAGCTGATTTATTACAATGAAAAGATACAAAGCAATATTGACGAAGAGCAAAGGTGGATGGGATGAAGTTCAGAGGAAACMAGAAGTAGGCTTTCAAAGGTCCTTTTCCAGAGCTCTTGCTTGATTACTTCAGAAATGAATTGTGACAACACATATAAAATGATCTTTACCAGAGAAACTCRTTAGAGTCTTTGTGCCCAAGGTTTATTAGGGCTGGTCTCTCTGCCTAGCATGTACCAAAACAAGCAGGCATTCAGCATAAATTATATTGTCTGTGTAAAGAGTTTATGCACAGTGAGCCATTCTTGACAGAGAATGATGGGAACCCTCCCCAAATCCAAGTTCCCAAATAGAAGCCAAGGGAGAACTTTGCAAASAGGACTTTCAAGGGACACCACTCTCTGGCATGCTGAATTAATTCTTTTCTGTACATAAATCATTTTAGAAATGTCACAATGAATCACACGAATTTCTCCTGTAAACTTTTATTTAACTTAAAAAAMATACTAGTTGATTCTTTGACATCAAGTGATGCTATTATTTCTTATATTGTTTTTCATCTTCTCCCTCTGGTTTATTGATGTGTAACTGAAAATTAAAATAGTTTATTTATGGCATAAACATAATTTATGTTTTAATATATGAGTACATTTATTACTTTAATATACATATCTATCMTCTTAGCAAATTTCAAGTGTACAATACAATATTGTTAATTATATTCACTGTTATGTAAGAGATCTCTAAAATTCAGTCATCTTGTATAAGTGAAACTTTGTGTCCCTTGATCAACATCCCCCCATTTTTCCTCTTGCCAACAATTATTTTACCTTCATATTGCACATACAAAATAATGTTTGTCTTTTGGCATCTGGTTTATTTGATTTAGCATAATGTTTTCCAAGTTCATTCATATYGTTAAAAACGGCAGGATTACTTCTTTTAAAAGACAATTCAGTCTTTWAAATTTTCTATGTATCTTATAATTGTGTTGTACATATACCATGTTTTCTTTATCTATTCATCAGTGGACATTTAGGTTTCTTTCATATTTGGGCTATTGTGAATAATGCTGAAATAAACACAGAACTTCAGATATCTTTTTTGAGATACTGATTTTATTTCCTTTGGATATATATATGCAGTAGTATGATTACTGGATCAAAAGGTAGTTATACTTGGGGTTGAACCACCATTTGACCCATTCCACTCCTTGACTTATACCCAAAGGACTTAAAATTAGCATACTACAGTGATGTAGCCACATCGGTGTTTACAGCAGTTTAATTCACAATAGCCAAGCTATGGAACCAACCTACASGCCCTTCACACAGATGAATGGATAAAGAAAGTGTGGTATATATACACAATGGAMTACTACTCAGCTATAAAGAAGAATTTGCCAGTAAATGGATGGAACTGGAGAATGTCATGCTAAGTGAAATAAGCCAGTCTCCCAAAAATCAAAGGCTGAATGTTCTCTCTGATATATGGATGCTAACCCGTAACAAGGAAGGGTAGGAAGGGGAAGTATAGAACATCATTGGATTAGACAAAGAGAAGGGAGGGAGAATGGGAACAGGAAAGAGAGTAGAATGAATCGGACATAACTTTCCTATGCTCATATATGAATATATGACCACTGTGACTCTACATTATTCACAACCACAAGAATTGGATCAAAATTATAATAGGTTGCTCTCTCTCTCTCTCTCTCTCTCTCTCTCTATATATATATATATATATATATATATATATATATAATATGTCAAAATATATATACCCTTTTGTCATGAATATCTAAAAACAAATAAAAAACCAGTAAAATAAAAGGTAGTTATATATTTAGTTTTTATGGGAATCTCCATATTGTCATCTTTGGACTTTATGATAATAGTCATTCTAACAGTTGTGAGGAGATAAGTCCTTGTAGTTTGAGTTTGTATTTCCCTGATGATGAATGGTGTGCATCTTTTCATACAACTGTTGGCCATTTGTATGTTTTCTTTGAAGAAATGTCTATTCAAGACATTTGTCCATTTTAAAATCAGATTATTTGTATCTTTTGCTATTGCGTTATAGTGGTTCCTTACATATTTTGGATATTAATTCTTTATCAAATATATGGTTTGTGTTTATTTTTTCCTACTCTGTATTTTGCTTTTTAAATCCACTTTGTTGATTAYTTCTTTTGCTGTGCATACATTTTATAGTTTAATAACGTTCTACTTGTTTATTTTTGTTTTTGTTGCCTGTAATTTGAGGTCATATCTGAAAAATCATTACTGTGATCAGTATCAAGAAGYTCTCTCCAATGTTTTATATGAAACATTTAATTTTAATTCAACTTTAATAAAGATATATCACTTAAAAAAGAAGATATTCCTCTAATAATTTTAGTTTTATGTCTTAAGTCTTTAATTTGAGTTGATTTTCTACATTTTTTCTACATCTACCTATTAAAATTCTCAATGGTCTCATTTCTCAGAACCTAGTTTCTGTATTAGAAAATACAGCTTTCTATTACTATAACAAAATACTTGAGTCACGTTGTCATTCAGAGGAATATTGACTGCTTTCACATATGACCAGGTTCCCTTAAAAGATAAATCCTTGAGTAAGAAAATGATGTTCTCATTAAATTAGTTCTTTTAGAGTAGKTGCTGAAGAGTTAATCAATAGGATGGCATCAAATTAAAAACTTCTACACAGCAAAGGAAATAATTAGGAATGGGAAAAGAGAACCTACAGAATGGAAGAAAATCTTCACTAACTACTCTTGTACAGAAGATTAATGTCTTGAATATATAAAGAATTAAAAAACCCTCTACACTAAAAAATCTAATAACCCAATTAATTAATGGGAAAATGAGTTAGACATTATCCAAAGAAGAAATGCACAAATTGTCAACAAATATATTTAAAAATGGTCAACATCATTAGCAATTAGGGAATTGCCAACCAAAACTTCACTGAGATTTCATCTCACACCAGTCAGAATGGCAATCATCAAGAATACAAGTAATTCCTATGTTCATATATGAATGCACGACCACTGTAACTCCATATCATGTACAACCACAAGAATGGGATACTAATTAGAATAGGCTATACTCCATGTATGTATAATATGTCAAAATATACTCTTCTGTCATGTATATCTAAAAAGAACAAATAAAAATATGGGAAAATATTTTAAGAATACAAAAAATAATAAACACTGGGGAGGATGTGGATAAAAATGAACCCTTTTACACTCTTCGTGGGATTATAAATTAATACAACCACTAGGAAATCAATATGGGGGATCCTTAAAAGACTAGGCATGGAACCACCATATGACCCTGTTACACTACTCCTCAGTATTTATCCTGAGAATTAAAGTCATCATACTACAGAGATACACGAATATCCATGTTTATAGCAGCACAGTTCACAATAATCAAACTATGGAACTAAGCTTAGGTGTCCATCAGCAGATGAACGGATAAATAAAACATGGTATACATACACAAAAGAGATTTATTTAGCCATAATGAAAAATGAAATCATGTTAATTGCAGGAAAATGGATGAAACTAAAGACCACCAAGTTTAGCAAAATAAGTTAAACTTACACAGTCAAGGGTCCTATATTTTCTTTCATATGTGGAAGCTGGAGAAGAATAGGAAAAGAAAGGTGGGAGCAGATCTCATGAGAATCAAAGGGAGATCAGTAGAGGAAAGGGACCAGGGGGCAGGAGGCAGAAAGAGAGGGTGGAAGTGCTGGGGGGTGACACTGGCCAAATTATATTGTTACATTGTATGCATGTACACATATGTAACAACAGAGCCTATCAATATGTACAAGTATAATGCACCAATAAAAATGTGGAAATAAGTAGGTGGCGGGAATTGTTGTCAATCTAATGGATTTAATAGTTCATATACAAAGTCTGTAGATCAGAAGTAATATTTTGCAGCTGAGTAACTGTGGATTAATCAATCTTTAGAATTTTGGAAGCATCTGTAAAACTGGAAAATTAATTTTTTCTTTCCTTTTTTCAGGCACAACTGTACTAAATATATTTCCCAAATACTTTAAAATTAAATTATATTCACATAAGTAAGTTTATTAAAATATATGAAGTATTGAAATAAAACCATTAAGTGTAAAAGTTAGGTTCTTCTTGGCTACATTTACTCTGGTGTCATTCTGTTTGGAAGGGCTACAATGTTAAGTGTTCCCAAAGGTCATCTGTAAAAAAAAAATTTTTAGATGGTTCCTCAGCAGCTTCTGGTAGTCGATTTTGGTTTTCAACTGAATGAAGTGGCTCTTTTAGAGTAGGTGGTAAAGTCAGATATTTAAGCTTATGTTCAGGCTTTCTCTTCAACCCCTTCAAAGACTTTTACTTTTATTCTACCCACTGAAAGCCCTCTTTCTTTGTCAGGAAAGTCTAGTCATTCCCTTTTCCTTTCATGCCCTAACCTCTAATGATTGCTTGGTTCTCTGAAGATAGGGGGATTCCCAGGACACATGAGAATTTTAATAGGTTTGAGTGATATACTGAAGCTATGTTTGTAAGAACATGAAAGGGGGTGGGCTTTGTTCATGGTTCATTTCTCATTTAAATTACATATTCCATTCATGTGTTATGATTTACGTTAGTTCTTGTTAAAACTTCACTTTTAGGTTTAGATTTCTGTTTTCCTTTTTTTTCTACATGTTTTTATAATAGCTTACCCATTACTTGAGCTAACTGGAATAAACTATGCCTTATAACAAAAAGAGCCTCTCATGTTACTGTTCTTGATTATCCAGTAACCAAACAATGTTAAGTGTTTTCTATGTGTAAAGCATGATGCTAAAAAGTGATAAAAGGTGCAATCCTGTCAGGCATGGTGGTGTCTGCCTGTTAATCCCAGCTACTCAGGAGGCTGAGGCAGAAGGATCACAAGTTCAAAGTCAGTCTGGGCAGTTTAGTGAGATCCTGTCTTTAAAAAACAAAGTCTGTAGGTGTAAGTCAGTCATAGATTGCCCCTGGGTTCAATCACCAGTACCAGGGGGAGAAAAGAATACAATCCTTGTCCCCTTTGTGTAATTTGCATGCCACATATGAAATAACACATTCATGAATGTGCTTAAGTAATTTAACACTCCTATTAGTTTATTCCACAAAGAAAAAGGAAAAAGGAGACTGAATAGAGRACACTTAACTTTGTAATACAAGTAATTGGAATCAGGTATTCTACTGGGTTGTGCTAATGTCAGTTATCTGATATATGTTTTAACATAAATTTATACTATTAATGTTATAAATTTAGAAAGGTATGTATTACATTTCATTAATACTATACATTTTAATACTTTTGTTTGCACAGTTTAAGAAATGGCTTAGTTTTGATGGTTCTAAAACAGGAATTTTTGAAAGATTTATAGCTGGTTCATTGGCTGGAGCAACTGCCCAGACCTGTATTTACCCCATGGAGGTATGTATTATTTTAAAATTTTAACTAAAACCATGTTTTAATGCAAATTATAACTTCTTATGAATGAATTCCAGATAAGTATTTTATATAATAATGTAATAAATTGTTTTATAGCTACAGGTTTTAAATCTCATGTCACTTGAACTCAGTGTTTTTTTAAAACAAAGATAGTATTGGAGATAGATAAGAAGATAAACAGTAATTTATTGTTTGATTGATGGATGGATAGAATCATTTGTTTAGTAATCAGGGAAATTTGGATAGCATACCCACTAAGTTTAGCTGTTTTACTTAGCTAGCTGTTATACAGGATCCAGAAAAGAGTCAGGKATTTTGATCATGTAATTTATAGTAGAAGGGAAAATAAATACATCATTAATGATGATTCAAAATAGGAACAGTAAATTCTAGGAGAGAGATCCATATACCATGTTATGGAAACTCAAAGGGGAGAAATTATTTTTAGTGAGGRATTTCATGAAAGGGGGGAATAAAATGTGTGAGCATGGCTTAGAATTTGGCATGCAAGGATTATGAGGAAAGGCATTTTAGGCCGACATAACAGCTTGAGCAAAGGAATGGAGGTTAAAAATGTCAGTGTGTTTAGTTTTGGACTGGACTTTTAAGTGAAGGGTTGGGACCCAATAGGAAAGCCTCTTGAATTTAACTTTAATTCCTCAAAAAATTAGAAGCCATTAAAGACTTTGAAGCCTGCAATGTGATCTTAGTTATTGTATCCATTTTTTTT